CTTTTGTATGTAGAATATTCTTTTCACATCTTCAGTAAATGCTAATTTTTACCCTCCACCAATATGTTGTGAGATGCAGGCATTATCTGGCCATTATGGAAGGTGGAATGTTGGCTTATAGTAATTTATTCCTTTTTTTTTTTGAATAATATATTGTTTAATATGTTATAATAGATTATTGAGTCATGTGTTTAAATGTTGATAATGGGTACTTTTCTTTTATTATTATTATTATAAAATTTTAATACATTGTTTGATGTCTTGGCATGTTATTTTTTTTTTCTTTTTGTCAAAATAGTCTTGTAATGGAAATGTGAACAATATATTAATGTTTGACTCGAATTGAATTTGTTTGTTCGTTTCAACTCTAGTTGGGCTCCAATTTAACTCGAATGATTTAAGAAAATAAAATTAATTTATTATTGTAGCCACCTACTACTATTTATGATTTAATCAACTACGGCCATTATAATAACAAACTACAACTTTTACAACTAATTACTTCTGTTCTAGCCACCAACTACAATACTTATAGGCTATGATGACTGGTATAGCCTAACTAGTATTATAAAGTTGTGATCATCAATTTGATTAATCACATCTTCCCCAATACAAGAGAAGAGTGAATGTTTATACTTTTAGTTTTCTAGTAGATTATATTGATTGGGGTTGACTTCATGATTTTTCACTTTTTAGGATTTTGTCACGTAATTTGGTTGTTTATTATATCTCTTACTATGTGTATTGGAAAATTATACTGAGTTAAAGTATAAGATTATTCCAACCTCAAATTTTTTTTAGCACGAAACAACAATAATTATTATTTATTAAATTATTTAATTACTTTCAGCAAAATCAACCGAGCACAAATGAATAAAAGTTAATTTGTAAATCAAATTCAAAGAATTGTTTATTTTCAGCTCGCTTGCTTATCTAATGAATCATTATCCGAATACAACATGTTCACAAGCGACGGACTATTTTGATAGCCCTAGAGATCTGGGCAAAAAAAGAGAAAAACCTTAAAAGAAATATTCATAGACATTAAATTTTATCACTTCTAGTTAGGTAAAACATCTTATTGTAAATATTTTAGGGCCTAAAATTTTAACCAAAATGGAAAATCTCACTATGTAAATTTATGTGAAAAAAATTAGAACTCATAGTTTATGTTTCTACAAATAACATACTAAAAAACATGAGATTAACAGGATATTGAAGGCAAACTAATTTGTTAATTTTTGTTAGTGAGAATTACCTTGTTTATTGAGATTAACTTCTTTAGCAAGGGTTTGATACAACTTCAATAATAATAGTAGTAATAATGGCGAAAAAAATGTACGATCTTATTAGACACAAGATCTCATAGATCACATATGGATCAAAACTTAGTATCGATAAATTTTCAGGTACTAAAAAAGACTTCATACATATATCAAGACTACCTTGGATGAAAATAATCATGTACTCATCAAGTTAATTTACTCTTTGGATTTTGGGATATCAATGAACAAAGGATTGATTTCCAACATTTATCTTTAATAGATGACAAAAAATTCAAATCGTATCTTAATAGATATGGATTTTCTCTAACAATATACTATAACATTTACGTAATGTGCTCTCATAGCTACATTACTATCAAATTATATATTCCTACATATAAATTTATTCCAATACACGCTTTATGTGACACCGGTAGCGATATCACTATCTGTAAAAAATTTATGATTCCCGATCATATTCCTATAAATACTAAAAAAACAACTACTTGGAACCTTTAATGGTCTTAGAATTATCAATGAAAATTGAACTTATCAATATTTTGTTATCCAATCAGCCCTTCTTAAAATATTGAAATTATGGTGTCACTCCCTGACGATGGCTCCGATTTAATTCTCGAAAATAATTTCCTTAAGACTTTCCCTCATTCACTCAATCATTAATAGAAATCAATTCCTTAGTAACTCCCACTCATTATCCACTCATTTCTCCTCTAATCCGCATGCCAAAATTTCATTCTATTACAAATTTTGATTCTCTTATTATAATTTGAATGGGGAACTTAAAACTCACAAAGAGAGATTTGTAATCAATCTCACTATTTGTATGTGGAATAGTTAATGCATAAGAATATCAAAATATAGATTTGTTAATAGATATAATTACTAGGTCAAATCTACCTTTGACATCAAGAAGTTTATCAAAAATACAAAATTTAATAGAGGAAGCTCACTTAAAATAGTTAGCTCATGTTCTTGGTTTTTAATAGAAAAGATTTTTTTGGGTAAATAATCATTAAGAGAATAATATGTAGGTATAGGATGCACTGCCAAAAGAAATAGCTAGATCCTAATGCTCTTTCCTGATTGCACTGCCAAAAGAATAATTTGGCTATACATGAAAGAGCATCCGGGTGCATCCTATACCTACATATTATTCTCTTAATGATTATTTATCCAACTATTGCAAGATGCATGTAAAGTATTAAAACTGCAAAAAAAAAATTCTGTTTGTATTTTAGTATTAAAATTTGTTTGTTTTTTAGTATTATAGAAAATATTTTTAAATTAGTGAATTCTGTTTGTATTTTAGTATTATAGAAAATATTTTTAAATTAGTGAATTTTTTATTTTTTAAAATCTACGTAATTTTTAAAATAGAAGTTAAAAATGAAGGACTAAACTACTTATTAATCTCCATCAAGACTTAAGGATCATTAGTGTTTGATATTATAGTTTAATTGCATAGACCCTATAAAGGCACACAAGAATCAATTTTTCTATAGTGATTGTAATTCCCTAATAGTAATATGTTCATTCTATCAAAGAATTGAACATTAACACTACTTATCTACTAATTTTCTACCAAAAGGTCTACCTCACAGAAAATTTTATTATCAAATTGGCTAAATTAAAAGTAAATGAAGTTTAAATGTTAACACACCAACTTTACATCCAATGAATCATAAAACACAAAAATAGATTCATTTAAACCCACAAATATTCAGTAATCCAAAGAGGTTTGGACTTAGTTAATTAACATTGATAAAAACATAGTTTATAAAGTGAAAATACATAAATAAATTACAAAAACATAAAAGGAAAAGCACCAAAAGTTTCCCTTTAGACTGATTTATCCAATGATCTCTTCTTCTTGCTCTGTTGACATAGCTCTCCACTTGCTTTCCGTTTCTCACAGTCGCTCTCTAAACCCTCTCTAAGTCCACTCTCTCATATACTGTGCAAACCTCTTTTTTATCTTCTGTCACCTTAATTACACCACAAACAATTTTAACCATTGAAGTTCAAATGTAAAATGCTCTAGATATGTTGTACCATTGTGGGGTCACAATATTGTGTTATGACACTGTGTCATGATGTTTCAGCATTTGAGATTGACACCGAGACGCCATAATTCAAATTGTTGGCTTCTTATTCTACAAATCCTAGCGTTATTGCGGTACAAAGTTAGCATTGGGGCACTAAATTGATGGCACTGCATATTCTACTCTAGCTAGGTTGTACCATTGTGGGGTCACAATATTGTGTTATGGCACTATGTCATGATGTTTCAACATTTGAGATTGACACCGAGACACCATAATTCAAATTGTTGGCTTCATATTCTACAAATCCTGGCGTTATTGCGGTGCAAAGATAGCATTGGGGCACTAAATTGATGGCACTGCATATTTGTATGTTGGCTCTACGAAGCTAATCATTTGGGTTGATGGCTCCTTCTCCTCTCATCCAACATTGAGGTGTTGTCATTATAGTGATGTGGCACTATGACCATGATGCTGAAGAGCTTGATATATAACAATTTGTTGTTGCTTGTATTTTTTACTTTCTTCTAAATTTATTTATCATGTTACTTTTTTTGTCACAAATAACAATAATACCAAAAAACATAAAAATGTTTTTACATAATTTATACAAAAAATATGCTTATATTTTAAAATAGTTTGAACAATTAACACAAGGGATAAATATACATGTTTATAATAAAGTTTATTAAGGAAGACTCTGCAAATGTACGCATAATTAGCCTTGTTGGCTATATTACTTTGCTAAAAGACTTGTAATATAGCCTTTGTGTAACTCCAAAATCATGGCAAATTTAGAAGGGACAATAAGAGTGATTAATTTCTTAGTTAGCAAATAATTGATCAATGGAAGATTTGGCCAGCCCAATGGAGGTCAAAATTGAGCTCCATAGTGAATGATACTGTCCATAATTTTCCTTGAAACTAGCCATTAAAAATACCATACAAAAATAGGATGTTTATTTGTTAATATCAATGTTGCAAGTGTTTTGTATATAATTATCCCTATCATAAATTTTCTATAAATATGTCACATGGAAGAGAGAAGATAAAGCTAGAAGTAAAGGAGTCATAATAATACAATACATGAAAATTCAAATCATTATGTCAAAAACATGTGCACAATTGCAGAGGCAAATTTTAGAAGATGAGTTGATGCACTATTAGAGCTCAACTTCTTTGGTACATTTTCTATAGAAAATCTTTATCATCAACAAAAGAGTCTGTCTTAACAAAAAAAAAGAAAGACTTTCCTTTACAAGCCAGTGAATTTTGCTCCTTCCAAGACTAATTGCTATAGGTGAAATGTCAGCTGTCTCTCATTTTGGAAGAGCACTAGCAACTATAATGCCACTTTAGATATCTTGCATGGAACCTCAAACCACCATTTCCAATTCTTCTTTAAAGGCAATAATGAAAAGCTTAAACCACCAAATCAAACTTGTTACAAGTACTTAAATGTTAAAAAAACATTTTATTCAAAGGGGTTGATGCGCAAATAATTATAAATATTGGAACTCATTGATTAATGCCAGTCATCTGTCTCAGAGCTCAATTTTGCAAATGCTACAGAACTCAGGTTAATTTGTAGGCTCAGAAACATGGTAAAATTCTATAGTTCCAAGGCATCATCAATATACTCATGAAGGCTTTAAGAAAAGAGACCAATGAATCACTCAAGTTCTTGAAACAGTTCTCCAACAATAGAAAAAAATATATTGTATAATTACACAAATTTAACTAATTAAAAAGAAAGGGGATTCTGAATCTCAAAGCAGCTTCACACCAGCATCTCTCACAGAATCAATGATAGCCTTAACCTTGCCATGGTACTTCTGTTCTCTCTTCAGGAAAATGGCGACTGCTGGAATGTTCCGGAACAGAAGTCTTTCCCCGAGGATCTTACCGATCTTAGCTGCAGCTGCCACGTCCCTGGTCGACTCCATGTTTGGTTGAAGCAGCTTCTCCTGCGAGCTTGCAGAGGCAGCCACGGTGGCGGTAGGGGTGTGGATAACCTGTGCACTGACATATTTATTGGAGAAATGCATCCGGAGTACATATGGCTTGAGGAACTTGGTCACTGGTGCTGGCCTAACTGGGGGTGGAATGACCATTGTTGCCTGCAGTGGAGAACAAACATTTTTTTAGAGGAAGGTGGGATGGTGAATGATGCAAAACCAACTAAACATCAAAAAAAGTAGAGAAAATAACTCATGGGGGATAACGCACTTAAGGTAATACGGTTCTTCTTCTCACAGCATGCTGGAGAAAATTCAAAAATGCAAAAGAACAAGTTCGAATAGATCTATTCAATGACCAAAAATTGTCTTAGGGGTGTAGAGGTTGCAACTATTAGAATATATAGCTACTTTCAACAAGTCATTGTTCATGAGATTTGCCTAGCAAGGAAATGCTGTGGAGTTCAGAGGAACAAAGAAAGCTCATGTACCGAATCCTTCAAATGCTTAACTTCTGTCTTTCAGAACATCATGAACACCATCTTAAAACCATAATTGAGGAGGCCAAGCCTAAGAAATGTGTTCTTATTATATCTCAAAGTGGGAACAAATTAATCCATATAAAAAAAAAGGGATTTTGGCCATTAAAGGTAGAACTATACCAAAGAAAATCAGTTAGTTATTTGGCTTGCTCTAGTTGGTGAGGAATTATTAGAAGTTTATTAAAAATTTTGCACACATTATGGCCTCCTCACATCACTATTGCAGAAAGGCGCCTTCCAATGGAATAAGGGAGCTAAAGTAGCCATTGGGGCCTTGAAACATGCACTCAGAAGTCCCCAGTACGGATGCTGCCCATCTTTGAGAAGCCATTCGCAATAGACACTAGTATGTACAAAATTGCAGCTATTCTAAGCCATGAAGGGAAAGCGGAGGCCATCTACAGCACAAAGCCTAATTCCAAGATAAAGCAGGTGTCTACCTACTTGGCTGTAGCTCAATGGCGAAAATATCTATTGGGCGCAAAGTTTATTACACAAAACAGATCGGAGAATATACAACTTAACAGAGAAGATAATTCAATCTCTAGAGCAAAAGTGACTGATTAGATTGCTTGGCCATAATTTCCGTTGAATACCAACTGGGAGTTATTAATATGTCAACCGATACTCTATATCAGATGCATGAATACGGAACTGGGAGTTGGTCCAAAGTTGCAGGTTACGCCAAATGGCAAATACCGGTGTTTGGCTCTCACTAGACTTTTCCAACCAATTCCAATTTAGCTGCAGCGTGGTAAAGAAAGTAAGATTATAAAATAGAAAACAAGAAAGGAAGGCACCTTGAGTAGAAGGAAAGGAGCAATTCAACGAGATTTGGGCCGCCCTTGGTATGCTCTCATAAAGAAGAGGTTTTGGTCAAGAAATCATTGTAGGATTGATCCAAGTTTGGTTCATTACAATATAATAATAATAACCCCAGAGCTTATAAAAGGGCAACTTGGTAGCCAAATTTAACATGGATTTACATTGGATCTAGCATAAATCTTGCTTGTGCAGAACACAGAGTAGAGAGTTAATAAGGCCACACTACTAGAGCATGACCAGACTCAAGATGAGAGCAAAAGCCATGATAGTCTCGTCATAATATCAAGATAACAGCTAAGGGAGATCCATCCATTAGTAAAAATTAAAGAAGTTTACAATTGGAAAGTTTATAATTAGAAAGTTTAAATTATATGCAAGATTTAAATTTGAGTTTTAAATTTTAAATTTTAGATTTTTCCTCCATATAGGAATATTTTAGTATTATTATTTATTTTCTTTCTCCTTTATTTAGAACATGGGGTTCGCCACTCTTTGATTGGAGTCAAAACTGGATTGGCCCCACTCCCCCTACCTCTTTGCTTTGAATTCTTCTTGTTTTTTCTTATAACATAATGTATTACTTTAAATTTTTACTTTGATCAATGAAATTTACCTTTTAATATTGAGAAGAAATGTGGAGTTGAAATCTCTAATGTTTTGTGCTTTAGTAGTTGCATCCCCCTTGGTTGTGTTGCTGTTGGCTGGCCATTTGAGCTCTTTTTGGTGGAATACCTAGATGTCCTCCTTATTTTTTGTTAATGCATATAGCCAGAAAAAAAATCCCAAAGCCTCTAGAGAAAGTGGTGAGCCAAAACTAATGCACAATGATCTTATTAGATTTTTCACACCCTCCAAATTCTTTGGATCTTAACCAATATATCTCAAAGCAAAAAATGAATTTTCGTTAAATTGGTTACCTATAATTTTTCCATTGAATACCACCCAGATGTGATTAACTTGGTGCCCAATGATATATCTCAGATGCATGAAGATGGAGCTAGCGGACTAGGAAATGCAGCACAAAACACTAACCATCAGCTAATGAAGATTGCTTCCAGATTTATACATATTTCATCAATAGAGATCAAACCAAATATAATTCTAAAGAAAATCTAAAGGTGGTTATAAGTTTCTGCTTACATCAGCTGATAAAAAAAGAGAAAGTTATAAGTTACTCAAGGTGTTCACAGCAAACAGCCCAACTAACACAACAAATAATGAAAAGTGCGTCAATTGCTACATGAACTAAAGCAAGTTGAGCCAATAGTGAAGGTCCAAATAGCTTAGGTGACTCAAAGGAATATAATTGCTTGGAATAGTTTAGGAATTAATGTTTAATAGGTTATTCGTGCCACTAGAGGAGGAATGGGTCAATTTTTTTACTAGTTTTGAATATTCATATTCAAATATTCATAGAAAATAGAATCAAAAGGATCTAATGCTTAATTTCATAACATTGAGAAAAAGATTCAAGATTTAAAGTGTCCTAAAGAGTATAAAGAGGATATAATTAGCTTTGAGAATGCGCCAATAATTGATTGGAAAACCATCATTGCAATAGTTTTGGATCCGATGTAGTCTATAGATAGAGTTTGAAAAACTATTCTAGTAGTATTTCCTTATGGAAAACATGCAAAGCCAAAAACTCATTAAAAGAAATTGGAATTAAGATTGAAGTCTATTTGAAGCATAAAACTCAGATTATTCAAAACATTAGGTTTGTTCCTTATACTAGCTATTATTAAGATTAAAAGACTTATAACTTTATTTGGTTTAGGAAGAGATATCAGGAAGTATTATTTGCCCTTGAATAAAATATTTTGAAATGAGTTGTTCGATCAATGGCTATACAGGTTTGTTCCTTATACTAGCTATTATAAAGATTAAAAGACTTATAATTTTATTTGGTCTAGGAAGAGATATCAGGAAGTATTTATTTGCCCTTGAATATAATATTTTGAAATGAGTTGTTCGATCAATGGCTATAACACTTGATATTTTACACCCTCATCAAACTGACACCGTGTCAAATCAACACTCATCTCAAAAGTTCATTACCAAACTATAAAATTAATCAAACTATTATGATCAAATGCAATCTAAGTAGGAGTGAGTTAGGGTCTGCTCGGGCATGGTTCCACCACTCATACATTAGCTTTCAACTTAAATGATAACATTTGTCAGGATAACCATCCTCCTAATTGAGATTCTAAAAATCTCATGCCACACAAGTTCTCACCACAACCTTACTAGTCTATCATCTCATCCCATGAGCACCGCTTGAACATTGGCAACTGGAGCATGAAAAATGAGTATCCTCCAATGGTTCGATGCCACATCATCAACAATTACATTGTGAATGTTTAGCCAATAAACATCAATGTACTCCAGCCTTGCCATATACATTACTACTCCATGAGTAGAGCTACCCCCCTGCAACAGTTGATGTGCATTGATGCTCCTGGCAACTACAATTCTCATATACATGTAAATTTCTCGTTTACAACTTGTAAACGGATAAGACCTCATAATTCTTCCAAAATGAGGAACACTTCTGCCATTCTTGTGAACAATGATACCACATCTAAATGTTCTCTTGAAAAGTTGGTCAAATACATAATGAAAAAATAAAAGGGAAAATACAGATTGAACTGTATTTCATGCTAATTAAAGATGCATGGAATATGTAGAAGCAAGGATTCAACATCAAATTGAATTTTTGTTAAGTATATATTGGTAGTGAGGAAAAAGTTGGATTAAGTTTCTCAAAATGTCAAGCCTTTTTTTTGGCAGGATGGAATAAAAAAGAATATACTAAATGTAACACCCTTACAAAAAAAAAAGTGTGAATGTGAACATTTGGTAGAACCTAGTAGAGACTGGTATTCACATCAATCCAAATAAACAGCTGATGATATTTTCCTATTGTCCAAATTTGGGAACATTATTAAAAAGATCAAACGAATGAATGAGGCTGTTTGACTTGATAAACAACTCAAAGCCATTCAAATAAGTGATGCTATACTAATTATAATTGTCATCTACATTTATATTATTATAAAAGGTTATGAAAAAATGCAAATTAAAATGATGAAACACATTGAAGAAAGAATTCTTAAACTAGATCTTACAAAGAGTGTAGAATAATGCAACCAAGATCAACCAATGGACAAATATATCTAGGAAAATTTATAGATGAACAATAAATGTTGGGATTTGAAGTATTTTGGGGGATGGGTGGGTGGACAGGGGCGGGGGTATCTTAATGTAAATGCATCAATAATTTCCAAGAAAGTTATCAATAGAACAACTAAGAATAATTCAATATTCGAGTGGTTCGGCATACACACACATACAAACGTGCACACATACAAGCGTGCACGCACGCACGCACGCACACACACACACACCCACACCAACCCAAACACACACCCATACAAACGTGCACGCACACACGCACACACACACCCACACATACAAACGTGCACGCACGCACGCACACACACACCCACACCAACCCAAACACACACCCACGCACCTGCACACACACACCCCCACACACCTACGTAAGACACACCCGCGCGGGCGAACACACAAACACACACCTGCGTGTGCGAACACACACTGACTATATATATATATATATAAACAAAGCGCCCTGCAGAAGGATACCACGGAAGACATCCCAATTAGCACCAAGTTTTTGACACTATTGATCATCAAAAGGATACCCCGGAAGACGTCAATATTCCCGTAGGCAATATGACAACCATTCATTCCCCGGTTAGAGCTTCTCAGTCTTTGAAACCTCCTATCATGGGGGCGAGAGAGATTCTTCAGACTCCGCCTGTCATAAAACCTATCACCGATAATACAGGTAGAAATATTTCTACTGCTTCACTACCGTCTTATCAGATTCAGAAAGATGTTAATGTTACTCAGGCTCATGGGGATCATGATGCGCAACGACCTACACATGTCTGACCACCTTTGGAATCTACTCATCAGATGAGTCAATCTTCGAATGAGGAATGACGGGTCTACACATCTAGGAGGAAGAAGAAGAATGGAGATCTACTCGAGCTCAAGAATCTGATGGATGATATTTTGGTTACTACGGGCAATTGTACTCGCCTTACTAATTTGTTAACCGGCTCACTTCCGAGAACTCGAGGCGGGAGGACTAAAGTGAAACGTCCCTAGCACTTTTGTGCATTTTTATGACTTTTTGATCTTTTGTCTTGATGTATTATTGCTTTATTTGAGTTTTCTGTGTGTTGTATTATATGAGTTGAGCTTTCAATTAGGCCCTCTCATACAACATTTCTGTATCTTTTCCGTATTAATATATTTTCTCTTGGGATTTTTTCAAAAATATATATATATATATAATCCTCTTCTATTTTGTGTAAATGACTCTTCACCTGTAATCTCTTATTTGATATAGTGAATTCTCCTCATCTACCACCAAATATATATATATGATTGGAGACTAAGTGTTGTCAATTTGAACGATAATTTCAACATAGTCTAGAGGAGAATTTATTGGTGAGATGAGAGGGATCCCCTCACACACTCTAACAGACGAAGATAACTCGCCTACCCTAGAATTGCAGCTTTATCCTCATTCGACAATGACAAGAGGGGAGTTGAAACTCCCCATCCATACCGGCTAATGAATGATTTCTGTTAAGGAAGTTGACTCCTGATCGGGTTGCAACAAAAAAGCTCAACGCTTCCGCTTTAGCAGATATAGGTTCAGCTTTGATGAACAAAAGATAACTGCAATGCTTGACTTCGACAAATGCAGGATGGACCTTTGATGCTTAGCTTCAATAAACAAAGAGAAAACTATTAATGCTCGACTTCGATAAATATTGTATGCATCTTTTATCCTAGATTTTGATGAATATTAGAGAGAGTATTGACAAGGGATGTAGCATCAACTATGATGTATAATTAGGGCTATAAGTATATTTATAATTTCTACTTCTCATCTCTGATTTTTCCCCAAATTGTATTGAGCACTTGTCAGATGCGGTGTCGAGGTGTATCTAGGATGTGTTCAAGCCCAAAAATAATTCAGATGCATATTTTATAGTGTCGGACAAGCGTCTGGGCATGTTAAATAAGTCTCGAAGTTCAAAATGTGTCTGACACAGATATGAAATATTTTTTAGAAGTGTCAGTGCTATATAAACAAATACGCTACCCTCTCTATTAAATGTAGGAAACTTATTAGTAAATAAAACAATTCTGAAAAAGACAAAAAATGAATCGAGCACCACTTGCAATACTCTTCAAATCATAACACCAGAGAATTCATACATGAAACCTCACAAATTTATATGCAAGCCAATAAATTAATGGTTGGATTTACCACTTCAATTTCATACTAAAATTTTGACATAACAAAAAGCAATCTAGCAAACAATAATCAGAAAACAATTTCAAGCCAACCCATACTAATTCTATCAACTGACCAAAAATCTAGCATTTAGTATCTCCATTCATGGCAAAACTGTGTTTTTATTTGCTGATGTGCATACAAGTACATTCAAAAAATAATTGAGTTTTAAAATGAAAAAATAAATATCAACTGAATATTGAATTAGTTTCATCTCACCCAAACAAATTGAAACTGTGAAGCCTGTCAGCGTCGGCAGTGAGGGAGAGAGGTGCGGGGTTGCTGACGGCGTCCGAAGAGATGGAGGAATCACTAGAGGGAGCGAGGGCAAGCCGCGACTCGGGAGAGTGAGGATTCGATTGGGGGTGGAAACGCGGGCAGTGAAAGGGAGCGTCTGGGGAGTTAGGGCTTTTGTTTTTTAGGAAGAAAAATTTGGAGATTTACATACATTTCACTCAAAAACACAAAACATATCTATTTATAGGTCTCACACTTAAATTTTTATAATTATGAATAAAAAAGCTAAAATTATGTAAAGAATACAAAAAAGGTACTCAATCTTTTGTTCATATTTATTATATTTTCCTTTTGCTTCCCATGACATAATTTGTTCTCCCCATCGTCGAATTCACATAGCACGAATAAGTAATGACACGTCACTAATCATAATGTAAATCGCAAGAGAACTTTACATAAGCTGTTGTTGGACTTAATGGGGATGGGAGGAGGAAGAAGGGATTTTGATGTATTATAATTTTTTTCTATTATTATTAATTTTTTTTGAAATGAGATGTTAAATGAAATGCTTCAGCTAAGGCATCCTTAAAGATGCATGGGAGTAGTGGAGATGAGCAATTACTAGAGATTTGATAAAATATATTTAAAGAGAAGGAGAAAACAAAGAAGAAAATGGAAGTGATTTAAGTGATTTTAGGAGTTTTAATATATAAATATAATAGTGTGTGTGAGATTAAAAAAAAAACAATAGGGAATTTATCTCTAAAAATAAAAAAAATGCAATTGCAGACAGAAGGTTTCAACTACACATTACAATACAACTCACAAAAAAAAAACAAAAACAAAAAACTATGGATCCTCCCCCCAATAAAAAGAAAAAATACAACTCACCCCACCTAGAAACCATTTTATTACCCTATGGTTTGACATACCCATGTTGACCTCATTTTTGTGAGGTCTTGTCTTCTCCTCCTTAAAGCCTAGGCTCTAGTTCTAGGAGTTCCCATTGACCATCTTAGAAATAAAATTTAAAACCTACTTATTAATTAATTAAGTCAAAATTTAACTTTTAGAATTAGAATAAGTGAATATTTATAACTATTAACTCATTAAAAAGTAAAAAAATTATAAATTATTGCTTACAAAACTATGATTGTTTTGATTGACTTCACTTTGACGAATAGAAGCTTCAGTGCAAGCGTTGCAAAGTTTGTAGGGTATTTGGATCACCTTCAATGAACAGGTTGACTCCTGTTCGGGTTGCAACAAAAAAGCTCAACGCTTCCGCTTTAGCAGATATAGGTTCAGCTTTGATGAACAAAAGATAACTGCAATGCTTGACTTCGACAAATGCAGGATGGACCTTTGATGCTTAGCTTCAATAAACAAAGAGAAAACTATTAATGCTCGACTTCGATAAATATTGTATGCATCTTTTATCCTAGATTTTGATGAATATTAGAGAGAGCATTGACAAGGGATGTAGCATCAACTATGATGTATAATTAGGGCTACAAGTATATTTATAATTTCTACTTCTCATCTCTGATTTTTCCCCAAATTGTATTGAGCACTTGTCAGATGCGGTGTCGAGGTGTATCTAGGATGTGTTCAAGCCCAAAAATAATTCAGATGCATATTTTATAGTGTCGGACAAGCGTTTGGGCGTGTTAAATAAGTCTCGAAGTTCGAAATGTGTCTGACACAGATATGAAATATTTTTTAGAAGTGTCAGTGCTATATAAACAAATACGCTACCCTCTCTATTAAATGTAGGAAACTTATTAGTAAATAAAACAATTCTGAAAAAGACAAAAAATGAATCGAGCACCACTTGCAATACTCTTCAAATCATAACACCAGAGAATTCATACATGAAACCTCACAAATTTATATGCAAGCCAATAAATTAATGGTTGGATTTACCACTTCAATTTCATACTAAAATTTTGACATAACAAAAAGCAATCTAGCAAACAATAATCAGAAAACAATTTCAAGCCAACCCATACTAATTCTATCAACTGACCAAAAATCTAGCATTTAGTATCTCCATTCATGGCAAAACTGTGTTTTTATTTGCTGATGTGCATACAAGTACATTCAAAAAATAATTGAGTTTTAAAATGAAAAAATAAATATCAACTGAATATTGAATTAGTTTCATCTCACCCAAACAAATTGAAACTGTGAAGCCTGTCAGCGTCGGCAGTGAGGGAGAGAGGTGCGGGGTTGCTGACGGCGTCCGAAGAGATGGAGGAATCACTAGAGGGAGCGAGGGCAAGCCGCGACTCGGGGGAGTGAGGATTCGATTGGGGGTGGAAACGCGGGCAGTGAAAGGGAGCGTCTGGGGAGTTAGGGCTTTTGTTTTTTAGGAAGAAAAATTTGGAGATTTACATACATTTCACTCAAAAACACAAAACATATCTATTTATAGGTCTCACACTTAAATTTTTATAATTATGAATAAATAAGCTAAAATTATGTAAAGAATACAAAAAAGGTACTCAATCTTTTGTTCATATTTATTATATTTTCCTTTTGTTTCCCATGACATAATTTGTTCTCCCCATCGTCGAATTCACATAGCACGAGTAAGTCATGACACGTCGCTAATCATAATGTCAATCGCGAGAGAGTTTTAGAGAAGCTTTTGTTGGACTTAGGAGGAAGAAGGGATTTTGATGTATTATAATTTATTTTTATTATTATTAATTTTGTGAAATGAGATGTAAAATGAATTGCATCAGCTAAGGCATCCTTAAAGATGCATGGGAGTAGTGGAGATGAGCAATTACTAGAGATTTGATAAAATATATTTAAAGAGAAGGAGAAAACAAAGAAGAAAATGGAAGTGATTTTAGGTGTTTTAATATATAAATATAATAATGTGTGTGAGATTAAAAAAAAAACCAGTAGGAAATTTATCACTAAAAAAAAAAAATGCAATGACAGACAGAAGGTTTCAACTATACATTACAATACAACTTACACAAAACAAAAAACAAAAAACTATGGATCCTCCCCCCAACAAAAAGAAAAATACAACTCACCCCACCAACAAACCAATTTATTACCCTATGGTTTGACATACCCACAACAACAACAATTTATGCATGATGCAATATCTTACTTCTGGGATGTCCCATATTTATATAAATAATGTAAGGATCAAATTATTCAAACATGTGTACATATGGAAGAAACTCAACAAATTATTCAAAAATGACATGATTCTGATTTTGAGGAACATTTTAGGATTGATAGAAATGCATATAAAATTTTACAATCTAGATTTTATTGGCCTACAATATTTAGAGATGTTAATACTTATGTAAAAACATGTGATCAATGTTAGCGGGTAGGCAATATTTCTAGAAGAAATGAAAGCTCCTCAATTTTACTTTAGAGGTTGAAATTTTTTATGTTTGGTTTGGACTTTATGAGACCATTTATACCATCTTCCGAATATATATATATATATATATATATTAGTTGCAATAGACTATGTTTCAAGGTGGATAGAAGTGTTTGCTTTACCTCGCTGTGATGCTCGCAGCGTCACAAAATTTTTAAAGATAAATATTTTTAGTATATTTGGGATGCCGAGAGTAATAATTACTAATGCGGTAATTTATTTCAGGAATAGGAGATTGAAACATTAGTAAGAAAATACGATATTAAACATAGAATTGTCACTGCTTATCATCCTCAAAATAACGGTCAGGTAGAGTTATCCAACCATAAAATTAAAATAAATTTGGAGAAAGTTGTAATTTTTAATAAGGTGGATTAGTCTGATAGACTGGATGAGACATTATGGGCTTATAGGACAACATATAAATCTTGTATAGGAATGACCTCATATAAACTCATATTTGGGAAGATTTGTCACTTACCAGTAGAATTAAAGCATAAAGCTTATTGGGCTATCAGAAAATTTAATTATAATTTAAAAATGCTGGTGAGAAACGACTGGCAATTAAATGAGCTTGGGGAGATCAGAAATGAATCTTATGAAAATGTGAAGAGAAAAGATGAAATAATGGCGTGATCACATGATTTTAAGAAAGGATTTAGAACCTGGACAAGAAGTTTACTACAAAATTCTAGACTAAAATTTTTTCCTTAAATTATTTCTTGGGAAACTGAAGTCTAAGTAAATGGGGTCATTCATTGTGGTGAAAGTCTATCCGCACGGTACTGTAGATATCAAGGATCTGAAATTTTATAGAATTTTCAAAATAAATGGACATAGGCTGAAACCTTACTTTGATCGAAGTAGACCTATATCTAATGTAATATTAATGTTGGTTCAACCTGAGTAAGTAGTGGATACATTGGGCTGACGACGTTAAACCAAGCAATTTGTGGGAGGATAATTATTAGATTTGATTAAATTTAGTTTATTTATATTTTATTGTGTTTATTTGCATGATTGTATTTTGTGTTTGAGAGTCGCACATGTGTTGTGACTACTTAAAACGCTATAATTCATGACCTAGAGGAGGTTAGGACATGTATATGGGCCTAAGGCGAACCGATGTTCAAGTGTGCATTGGTGCCTAGGCACCGAGATCTAGCTCGTAGGCGTCAACACACAGATAACATGGTGTCTAAGCGCCCAAATCTAGTGCCTCGGAGCCACAGTTACAAAATCACCGATTAGTGCGGTTTTTCAGTTTATCTAATGGTTTTCTCCATTAGAAACCTCTAAAACCTTCATTTCATTTCATTCCCATCAATTATAGGGTTTTGAGAGTGAAGGAAGTCTTGAGATTTCATGGATTTCAATGATTTAATGAGTTCAACTCATAAAGATTTTGATCGGAAAGGATTCATCATGCCTGAAAGGCAGGTAGAGGCAATTATTGCACAGAGGCGATGGGAAGTGTTTTGTTATACCATTGTCGTTGTCGTTATCTCTGCTGTGAAGGAATTCTATTCAAATTTTCATGGATTAAATCATGGATTGGCCTATGTTTGAAGTAAGTTAGTACCTTTTACTCCTTAAAGGATTAACAAGTTATTCTCGATGGATGACATACCAATTTATGAATTTACTAACTTCACTCCGCCTAGAGAAAATTTGACTGAGATCTTTAGATTCCTGGCGGACAGCGACAAACGTTGGAAATTGAAAAGTGATTCCAAGGTGAGTTTACCTGCTGCAAGGTTAAATTCATCATCTAAGCCTTGACACTTTTTTCATTTATGCTAAATTGCTTCCCACCACGAACATAAAGGAAGTAATGAAAGAAAGTGTGATCCTCAATTACTGTATTCAGACTGGAAGACCTATTGATATGGGGGCACTTATTTATAAATCCATCCTTGAGGTTGCACTAAATGGATCTATGACTGAGATTGGTCACCCTGCGCTTATTTTCTTAGTTTGTGGTCAAGCCCAGGTCTCTTATGAAAGTTGGGAAAAGGTACTTCTTGCGTGTGACAACATCGATCTTTTTGCGGCACATTATATGGATCAATCTTCACGCCCTTCCACATCATCATGGCCTCGACGTGCAGATTGTTTGGCAAGTATCTTGGAGGAAGTAGGGAAGATAAAAGAGGAGATATCAGTGATTTACATCCATATCAGTAACATCATTAATCAACTCGATCATCTAGACTGACAGATAAAACAACAGTCAGATCATGTTGCTTTACTCCCTGATGCACAGGTCCAAATGTACAAGAAGAATTGTTGGATCAAGGAAGATTTTGAGGAATTCCGAAACTATCCCTTCTACAACTTGTACGTGCATCAATCGCTTGGTGATACTAGAGAAGTGGATAGTGAGATTGATGATAATATGTAGTGGATTTTTTGTAGTAACTTTGATGCGTGCTTGTAAATTGTTGGTTCCATAGAGTATTAGCTCTGATGTGTGCTTGTAGGCTTTCTAGTATTTTAAGTGTTTATGTGCCTAGTATTTTGTGAGTGATTTCAGATAATGTGTGTTTGTATAAAGATTGGATTTATATTTAAATATAAGTGATTGTTGGTGTTTGTGAAAATTATAGGTTAGGAGATGTTTAAAAATGTTGAATTTGGCTTACTAGGATTCGTAGTGCCTTAGTGTGCAATGCTCGTTGTTAAAATTTGATAAAAAAAATGAAAAAAACAAAATCTCGGCACTGGCGCCTAAGCATCGAAACCTGATGCCTAGGTGTTAGAAACCCGACAACATGGCGCTTAGGCAACAAAACTTAGCGCCTAAGCACCGGTTCAACTAAACCGACGAATCTGGGTTAAAAACCCCATTTTTGCCCAAACCATCACCTCCTTCCTTCTAGTTTTCACGAAATAGAGTTAGGGGCTTTCCTAAGGCTTCTGAAATCTTGGTTTTTAGGGCGATTTCTTGGCTTGTAAACTTTGGATTTGATCTCCTCAAGGTAAGAGCTTCACTTTAATGCAAACATTTTTTTATTTTCACCATAGATTCTTCTCACATTGCTCAAGTGCCGAAGTTTTGGATATTTTGGAAGAAATTAGTGATGAATCCATGGTAGAAAGATTCTTATCTTAAAAAAATATTGTTAAGAGCTTAAGAATATTATTTCAAATTTATGTGGAAATTTTTTTGAATTTTTATAGATTACGACTCTTAAAACTAAGAGAGGAAAAGGAAGACTAGAGTTTGATTCTTGGAAATTTGTCAATTTAAAGGCTCAGTACAGATATAATGATCTTCTCGCTAATATAAAGTTGATTCAAGAGAGAGCATTCTTCAATCTTGAAGGAGCTGTGGAAAGTTTAATTATAACCCAATATTGGGAAAGTTTTTGTTACTTCACCGTTGTAACAGTAATCTCTATTGTCTGAGAATTTTACGCCAATTTCGTGAACACTCTGATGACCAGGAATATGTTTGAGGAAGAAGAGTGGAGTTTACACCTGAGAGCATCAATGTTCTGTACCAATTGCCTAATATTTTAAATTGTGATTATTCTTCATTTGAGCCTACTGAATCACAGTTGGATGATGTGATTGCATTTTTTACTGGCGAAAGAGGAGTTTGGAAAGTTAAGAATGATTATAAGGTAAAATTCTCTGCCTCAAACTCTCTAAGGCGTGAAACTCTTTATTTCTACACAACTTCTTCATTCTAATCATCTTAGTGAGGTTTTCAAGGAGAGACCATCCTTGAATTTTTGCATTGAACAAATGAAGATTATAAATATTGGATCTTTAATATATAAGAATATCTCTTCTAGAGGTGGAACCAGTGGAGATTTAGGTTTCTCTGCCCTGATTTTTACTTTATGTACGCAATCAAAAGTAGGATATGAAAAATGGGAGGAAATA